ACCTTGTCATATGTCTTATATTACCTTATCATATCTTGTGCTATCTTATCTTATAGTGTAGTATCTTATATTGTCTTGTCTTATCTGGTGATTATCATTGGGAGGAGGGAGGCGCGAGCGGGAGGAAGAAGGAGGAGGAGGAGTGGGAGGCGTCAGAGTAATAACAAGAACCCCAAGCCTTAGGATATGGGGAACAAGAACCCCAATCCTTATGATATGGGGAATGAGGACCCAACACACAGGAGGGTTTGGGGAACACGCGAAAGAGGCGGCGGCTCGGTAGCCCACGCTGGCGCAACCCAGGATGAATAGGAGGGGCGACAGACCCGATGTAGGCCTTGCCGGTTTCACCTCTTTCAGCCCTTCAAGCCAACACACGCTCGATACAAGACACACACACCAGCAACAAAGCACGAACAACAGCAACAACAATGCCTTCGGAAAGCTTCATGTGATGATCCATTAATGTTTGCCAGACTTTGCTTAATGTGTTTGGTATGTTTCTTACTGTGTGTGTTGCTGTGTTTGTTGTTGTTATGGTCGTCGTCGTTGTTGTTGTGGTTGTTGGTGTTGTTGTTTCTGCTTGTGTTTGAGTGTTGGTTGTTTGCCTTTCTGGTTTGGAGCAGGGGCTGCGGAGGGGGAGGAGAAGAGGGAACTCAGGATGAGAAGGCGCGCGGAGCGCGCGCTCGAGCATACGCATACCCCATCTACAGCTGGATCCAGCTCGAATGCAATCTCTCTACAACTGGGCCCAACTCTGATAGAATCCCGCCACGGCTGGACCCACCTCTAGCATAACCCCTCCGCATGGATCTGCATCCAGCTCTACTGGGATCCAGCTGGAGTTGGACTTAGGATGTCTTGCTGAGGACTCCTGATTCCGGAAGGACGCCATATGGAAAAATACAGGTTACCTGCGGGGGGAAGCCTTACATATGGTTCCCTATGAAAGAGCTCAGTCCCTAACGCTCCCCATGAGAAAAATAATGTTCCTTAAAACGAAAGGATCGTTAATGAGGACCCCATTGCTCAGGATTCTCGGGTAAAGGTTCCTTCTTAACCATTCTCTGCTAAGGACTCCCTATTCGTTCCCTACTGAGGAAGCCGTGCGAAAGATTTCGCACTAAGGAATCCGTATTACGGGCTCCATGCAAAGGACTCCCCAGGAACCCCTACGAAGGAGTCCCCATTAAGGAACCCTTACCGAAGACGCCAGACTAGGCATTCCTTGCGACAAACTCAAAAATGAAGATCCCTTCCTGAAAGATCCCTTAATACGGAATCCTCATGGATTCCCGACTAAGGAATCCTTACCATGAAATTCACATGAAAGATTCCGTGAGACAGAAGGATTACGTAATACTGATGTCGAAGCGGAAATTAAGTACTAAAGGCCCCACATTTCGGATTCATTACTCAGGTTTCGATACGAAGGATTCCTCACTAAGAAACTCTGTGCTGAATTTCACCACTGTTGATACCTTACTCAGAAGTATATTCTGGAATTCTTTCCAGGAATTCCTTAGCACGGACTCCTGACGAAGGAATCTCCACTAAGGACGTCTAAGAGCCCCTTTTACGGATATCATGCTAAGTATTTCTTCGGAGATGCAGAGAAATCCGTACCAAGGGTCCCTACTCAGGATTGCGTACTCCAAATCTCTTACGCAAGGTTCCTTACAGAAAGGACTCCCTACTAAGGATTCCCTGCTAATGCTTCCTTACTAAAGAGTCCCCACTAATGTTTCTAACTAAGGAACCCAGACTCAGGATTCCCGACTTCGGATTCCTTACTCACGACTCCTTACTATTATTACGGCCTTACGAATGCTGCTGTTACTACGGAATCCCTTTCACGGATTCCCTACCAAAGGTTCCTGCACAAGGATTACCGAGTAAGGCTCCTGACGATGGACTCCTTACCAAGGAGCGCTCAGTCAGTATTCTTTACTCTGGATTCCTTACTAAAGGCTCCCTGCGACTGGTCTCGCATGCTGAGGTTCCGATCAAGGATGCACAACATAAGGGTTCTTTCATGAGGACTCCCGACTAAGGATTCCTCACCAACGATTCCTTACCAACGACTTTTTGCTAGAACGCACCAGGATTGTCAAGGCCTGAGTCGGGTCTGCTTCGGAAAGGGGGGGAGGAAGGAGGAGAAGGAGAAGGATGATGAAGAGGAGAGAAGAGTTGAGAGGATAAGGGAATGGGAAGACGAGGAAGGAGCGGGAGGAGGAGGAAAGAGGGAGGAGAAGGAGAGCGGAGGAGGAGGAAGGAGGAGTAGGAGGAGAAAGGAGGAGGAGGCGGAGGAGAGGGAGGAGGACAGGCGAGGGGAAAGGACCACCAGCGAAGCTCTGGAGACTATGGGGCAGCTTGCGGAAAGTCATCAATAGGAGGAAGAGGAGAAGGAGGAGGAGGAGGACGAGGAGGAGGAGGAGGAGGAGGAAGAGGAGGAGGAGAAGCTGCTCCCTCCCCTGGGCCAATGTGGCGGCCCCAGCGCCTGCAGGTCCGCGAACCAGCTGGGCGTCGCCTGCTCCTGCCACTGGCCGCCAGAGCTGTCGCGAACCCTGGCCGCGGGCGGCTCGGCACCCGAGGGCGACAGCGACGGCGCTGTCGGCTGGGCCGCCTACTCCACGTTTGAAGAATCCGCCAACCCTTCGGCGTGAGTGAGACGCTGTCGTCGTCTTCGTCGTCGTCTTCGTCGCCAGTCCCAAGAAAGTTGAATAACAAATGGAACAAGAAACGTCGTAGTTTAGTCGATGATCCCCTCGCCGTTGTCCCATACCTGACAAGGGGGGGGGGTAAAGGGGGGGGGGGAACGCAAGGGGGGTCCCGGGTGAGATCGCCGCCGCCCCCCGCGGACCCCGGCGGGTCCAGGGTGGGGGACAAAGGAGGGGTTCCCCCTGTGGGGGGACCCTGGTCCCGGCTTTGGCCCCCCGGCCCCGGCCTCGGCCTCGACCCCGGCCCCGGTCCCGATGTCCCCGGAGGGGGACCCCCGGGTCCCGGGTGAGGTCCCGGCTTCAGGGTTGGCGGCACCGGCCGTAAGACCTTCATACCCCCCAGGAGGCCCTCTAACAGAGCCCAACACATCTATAGCCTCCCACGAGAGCCCCAAGGTGGGCTCAAGAGCGCTAGCGTCGTTTTCGTCGTCCCCCTTCAGGGTCGGCGGCACCAGCCGCAAGGCCTTCCCAAAACCACACAAGCACACGGACGTACCAACTACAACTGTTGGCCACGCTCCGCCTCCCAGGGTCCTCGCTGGCCCCAGGGGCTGTAAAGAAACGACCTGGGGTGAAGCGGCGGCGGCGGAGGAGGAGGAGGAGGAGGAGGAGGAGGAGGGGGAGGAGGAGGAAGGGGTCCCAGTCTCTGGGGGGCCACGCCTCGGCAAAACACGACGTCGGATGCCCGGGGGACGGGAAGCGGGGGGCGGCCTTCGGCCCAGAGCCCCCAGGAACCCTATAAGACCCCCCTGGGAGGACGGAAAGGTGGGGTAGGAACAGAGGTAGGGTTAAAGGAACAGAGGTGGGGTTAGAGGAACGGAAAGAAGGAAAGGTGGGCCCTGGGAAGACGGAAAGGCGGGGTAGGAGCAGAGGTGGGGTCAGAGGGCCGTCGTCCTGCATGACCCCTGGAAGAAACGACTTGCGAGCGCCCAGCACAGCTTCGCGCGTCGCGCGGCTGGCACAGGGCACCCTGGCGGCCCAGGCCGCTGCGCGCGGGGCGTGATCGTGGCGGGCGCTCCCGGGGGGCGGCCCCGGTCGTCGCAGCTGGCAGCGGGTGCGCCAGCTCGAGACCAGCACCGACCCTGGCCAGGCCCCTCCTGGGCCCAGGGTCGGCGCGTGCACACCATCCTGGGGCCCAGGGTGGCCCCAGGCCCCAGGCGCAGTCGCCGACGTCGCCGCTGCCATCGGCGACGAGGATCGAGCTTTGAGGTATCTTTGTGCATTTTTTGGGGCACTTCTGGGCCTCCTGGTCCCTTCGCCGCCACGGCTGCATTCTCCTGGTCAGAGCGCACACTGGGAGGGGCCTTGGGTCTTGGGGTTGACGTCTTGGCCGTCGTCGACGTCATAGTCGCCGTCGCCGTCGTCGTCGTCGTCGGGCCAGCGACCGGTGAACATGCTCTCCTGACAGAGCACGGAGAGTATGTAATGTAGAATGACGGCAGAGACAGAGGGCAAGCGGGAGAACCAGCAAATGCACGGTCTTTTGCCGCTGGAGTAACCTTGGAAGATAACGATCGAATGCAGTCAGAGTATTTTAGATAGCGTGTCGCCGTGGCGGCCCCGGCGACACGCTGTGCCATGCAAGCGGATAGCGTGTCGCTCCGCTCCGTGGGGCGGGAGGCTCGGAAAGGCTCGGGACGCTGAAGCCTTGGGATCGCGACGTGGATAGCGTGTTGCGCCGAAGCGTGGTGGGCCAAAACCGGCGGAGCGACACGCTAAGCTAAACTTTCTGACCGTAATCGCCTTCCGCAGGGAAAAAACTTGGGGGATGACGAGCAGAGATTACCCAAGTTCTGAATCACCGCCCACATCGCCACTGCGTGACGACCCCCCCCCCAAGTATGTCTTCAACGTTATCTCACATTGCCAGAGGCCCTACTCGAAATGGAAATGCCCAGAGCGACGAGGGCTCCAGGGTGGAGATCCTGGGCACGAAGACCGTAACGATACCCCTCAAACGTTACGGTTGCTATGGCAGGGGGGCGGGCAGAAAACACAGAAACATAAACTTTCAGAGCTTCAAGCGGAATTCTTGGATCTGCGCGCCGATCGAAGAAGTCCGCGAGGAGTTCAGAAAATTGATGCCTTTCCCCAAACTGTGATTGCACATAAAGCTTCTAATCTCTTTTCGAAGCAAGCGGGTGCTTGCCGTCGCCGCCCCGTCGCCACCTCGTCGCAGCCTGTCTTCTGGGCTTGCCCGTCGGTCTGGCGGCTATGTGGTCGCCGTCGCCGCGCCGTCGCTCTGGGCGTGCCCGTCGGTCTGGCGGCCATGTGGTCGCCGTCGCCGCCCCATCGCCGACTAGGCCTGCGATATGTTTGCAGTCCTCTGCGTTGCTTTGCATTGCGTTACACTGATTTGCATTGCTTGCTCTGCGTTTCTCTGCGTTGCTTTACATCGATTTGTGCATTGCATTGCATTGGTTCGCCTTGCTTTGCCTTGCTGTGCGATGCATTGCTTGACATTGCTTGGCGTTGATTCGCACTGCGTCTCACTCGTCTTCATTTCCCAAACAATGCTTGCACTTAGTGGCTCTTACTCGTCTTCTAATGAACTGGGTCTGCGGGCCGCTCTGGCCGCCATGTGGCCGTTATCGCCGCCTCGTCGCCACCCGTCGCCTGGGCCTGCGGGCCGCTCTGGCCGCCATGTGGCCGCCGTCGCCGTCTCGTCGCCGCGCGCCGCCTCTCCGCCGCCAGCCTTGCATTGCTTCGCATTGTTTCGCATTGCTTCGCATTGACTTGCATTGCCTTGCAATGATTTGCATCCCTATGCATTGATTGGCGTTGCATAGCTTGCACTGCAAAGTTCGCGCTACATGTCTTGCACCACGTAGATTGCACCGCATAAATTCAGCTGCCTAGAGAGAGTTAGGAGTTACCTCCCCAGTCCGCCATTTTGTGTTGCAGTTGACATACGATCCTGCCCCATCGTCCATCCTAAACATGAGTTCGTGCCTTATCGGTCCCATCGCTCGTCCCCTACACCAAAAACGTTGCGCGCACTCGTGGAGCAGCACTCGCCAATTTCCAAAAATCCCTTACAACAAAGAAAAACACATAGACACGCGCACGTCGTTGCGCGCGCATGCCGGAATCCTTCAAAAACCGAGCAGTTCCCTAAAAGAGAGAAAATCGAGCGCCCCGGAAACATGGGCAACAATTACCTGTTTCACAACAAAGGCTCTCAACAAAAACATGTGCTCGCGCTCTGGCCAATTCTCAAACATACGTAAGGTCTTAAACTTGTCCTCGAATGATTCTCAACGTGCCTCTCGCACGCGCGTGTCGAAATCGCTCGAGCGCCTTTGCGTGCACGCTGTCGCTGAGATCCCTTGCAACAGAAGAACCGATATGCACAAGCGCGCGTCGTCGCGCGCGTATGCCGGAATCTTCCCGCAACTCGTGGTATCGTGAAGAAATCATCAGCGAGTGTCCCGAGGCATATGAACACATATGTCTTTGTGCAACATCGATGTTCAAACAAAGTATGCTTGCGCGCGCTCTTGCATCGTCTTTTGAAACCAAATTATTTTACACTATGCATTTTCCATCAGGTTAGACCGCCAATACCTTCCGCGCCGCATGTCGGAATCATTCGAACGCCCTTGCTGGCGTGCTGGTGCGTGGGTGAGTGGGGGGGGGGGGCACGATATTTGACAAAGAATGTCATGCAGGCCACTCTTGCGCATCGGCCGCGCGCGCATGTCGAATTCCTTGCAAACCCTGCATCGCCAATGCGAAGTCATCGTCATCAGCACAATTGGCATCGACACCTTCATTGGCTCTGCCGTCGTCATCGGTCTGGTCTACTGTTGTCGACGCCGCCATGATACCGCTCCCTCCCAAGTCGTCGGCTCGCACTGAAGTGCCCGCTGGGAACCGCCCAGCGGTCAGCGCCGCCAGCGCGGCCGCGTCGGCGGCGCCAAACTAGCTGGCCGTTGTGCGCCCGAGCATGTGCGGGCTAGCGCGGCTGCAGAAATTGCACCAGCCAGCACCAAGCACTCATAGCAATCGCCGCCGAGTGGGTTTTGCAAACCAAGTCGCGGGCGGGTGGGTGGGATGACTGCACGAGCAGTGACATTGACAATTCCACCGTTTCGCTTCACAATAAAAGGACCCACACCACATATATACACATATTGCACCACGTCGAATGCACCATGTAGATGTTGTCCGTTCTAAAAAGTAATAAGCTCCATCCACCCGCCACCAGAATTAACTGTTCCCGTTTTCGTCTTGAGATTTAACTGCGGTTTTGCGTCATCGTCGATCCAAACCATACCATGCCAGCCAGGCCACTATCGCCCCCATCATCCCTTGCAGGAAACAGTGTGCGCACGCACTCGTTTATCAACATTCATCAATGTTCAAGCACCCCTTTTTCCGAAAGGACGAAATGCACACGTGCGCGTCGTCGCGCGCACATGCCGGAATCCTTCAGAAAGCTTCATCACCGACGCGAAGATGCTGTCATCGTCGCCAGCGTGATCAGCATCGTCGCCGTCGCTGGCCGTGCCGTCGTCGTTTTCCGCTTCGTCACCAGCATCGCTACTCCCATCATCGTGTCTACCGTTGTAAACGTTGCCATGATACCGCGCCCGCCTAAATCGTCGACTCGCACTGAAGTGCCCGCTGGGAACTTCCCAGCGGTCAGCGCCACCACGGCCGCGTCGGCGGTACCAAACTAGCTGGCCGCTTTGCGCGCGAGCATGCGCGGCCGCGGCGACGTGCCAGCCAGAGGTGAGCAGCCATCGCAGTCGCCGCCGCAGGGTTTTGCAAACCAAGTTGCGGGTGGATGGGTGGGATGATTGCGCGAGCAGTGGAATTGACAACTTCGCCTCCGGCAGGGCACATTGCACCACATAGTATGCCAGAACGTATCGCTTGGGATCCACGTTAGCTAACATAGAATTTTTGCTTCTTCGGTCTTATCACATGCCAAATGTAAGCGTACCATGGGGCCAGCAACCCTCTGCGCCCTATTTCGTGCAGGGCGGGGCCCATCCTGCGGAACGCGTCGGCGTCCTCGATGATCTCAACGTCTCGAGGGATGTCCTGCACGGGGCAGCGGATGTGCTGCAACGTGCCCGGGTGGCACGCAAAGCGCCCGGATGCGCGCGGCGCTCTCGCGATGGACCCAGCCCGTCCTTCCACTCTGCTGCAACTTCCTGCCTTCCTCCCTGTTTCCTGGGGCGGGGGGGCAATCGACGGGGGGTGAAGCACTGTGCACCTTTCGTGCTTCTTCGGGGCCTCTTCCCCCTGCAACCCTCGATCCTCCCCGTTGCCAGACGCCCGGTTCCACGCTCCACGGCCCTTGCCGGCCGCGGCTCTCAACCCCTGGACCTTTTCGTTGAGCGGACGTTCGCAATGTAGCTGTAGCGTCGGAGAGATAGTTCACAACCGACTAAGGCGACGTGAAGACGATGAGACGATGGGTGGCAATCTGACCGCCAACAAATGCTGGAGAGGGAACGGCAGAGAGAATGGGAAAAACCGTACGCCCGCCAGCTGGCGGCCTGAAGGACAGGAGGATAATGAACAGAGCAATGACAATAAAGGCATACTCCTCCTCTCCTCGACTCTCCTCTCCTGTCCTCACCTCTCCACCTCCTCCTCATCATCGCCCTGGTCCTGGCCAGCTATCGCCCTCCTGCTCTCCTGCTCCAACCTCCTCCCGCTCTTCCTCCACCGTTTCGTCGTCGTCGTCGTCCTCCTCCTCCTCCACCACCACCTTCTCCCAATCGCCGTGGCAGGATCGAAGAGCCACCGACCCGACAGGGGGACTGGCAACGTCTGCCAAACATATCCAAATCTGACGAAGCCCTTCCCGAGGCCAGGATTGGGGACGGCCCATTCCGTAAACGTATACCGGTTTGCATTGTGCCGCCAGGTTTCTTCCATGTGTGACCGTTCCAAGCAGCAGCATGCAAAGGCGCTAGATAATCAGAAACGAACGCGCGCGACACGCAGAACTGGCAAGCATGCCAACACAATCAGATACTAGTCATTTCTCTTCTGTCAAAATGTTCGCCCCACATTTGGAATCGTCTCCCCATCTTTTGGGCTGGAGGACTACAAAGAAGACTACAGAGCGCAGCGCAAAATGCAAAAAAAACAGTTTGCATGTGGAAGCAGAAGGAGGGTATGATAGAAACAATCGATTGGAGGCAACACAAGACTAATCTGACATTAGAGAAAAGAAATGCAATGACTGTCGAAGCCTGGGGCTTTGCTCGCCAGCTTGTTGGTCATCTTTTGGCACTTGGCTAGAGACCATACGCACACATGTGTCACACAAGTCGGGGCAACAGGCGACGAGAAAACCGGGCTAGTGAAAAACCTAGCTCGCCGTATTGAGCCTGGAGAGACGCAGACCACACACAAATCATCCCGACATGTCCCGAGACAAGTGGTGGGCAAACGCAGACACGCTTAGAATAAGAATCATTGCTCCTTCGAGGAATATGCAGAGGATGCAAGCGTCTCAATGGACACATCATGGCTTGAAGAAGCAGCTGTGCAGAGCGAAGTGTACTCTCGAGACGGGTTTGACGTTTTGCAATTACGCAGGGGTGTCGAAGTGCACGGGGCTATCTTCGAGGCAGGCGTTGATGCTATAGAGTAAGCATGACAATGTGCAGGAGACATGCGAAAACCAGGATGCGGACACGAGGTATGCGGCGACCCCTCGTTGCCAAGCGTTGGACAAGATAGAGGACATCCTCGCACACACACACTCGCCCTAAAAATATCGGATATCACTTCTGGAATCCGGTCGCATGGCCAAGAGGAGGACATGCGCGAAGCTCTTCGAGAATGGACAGGCGCCGAACACGTCGAGAAGCAAGGATTCTGACAGATGACCGATTCTGGAGACATTCGCATGAACGCACTGGCCGTGCCTCTCCGCCTGCCCTGGCTCCTCTCTTCCCTGCCGGTACCTCGGGGTGGACGATTTCACGGCGAGATGCAAGAGGTGTGATTCAGGAGGGGGTTGCGCATTCGGAGCGTCGAGAGTATGCTGCTTCGCAGCTCGGGTACCTGTGGGGAGTGGCGGAGGCGGGGCGGGAGCAGTTTGTGGCTCGATCCTCGGTTGTGCTCTCTTGGGGAGGGGGATCGCGACCCTGCTTGCTCGCCAGCCCCCAGACCCCGCCCCGAATGTTTGAGCCTCAGCGGCGAGTCGCCATCCGCATCGGGTCACATGTTCGGCACTGGCTTTTCAGAGCCAAACAGGGCGCATAAGCAAGCCTCAGGATTCAAGTAAACTAAACTGATCCCCGGCCCCTGCATCCATAACTTAACGCAGGGATGCTGGATATGTGTGTCCCTTGTAGCTGACGCTGCTGCTCTCAGGAATCCGTTCACTTAGCGCCCTTACCCGTTGTACCACCTCCTCATCTTCACCGACGTCATCAGAATCGTCCTCGCCACCATCACCACCATGATCACGATCATCAGGATCATCGTCATCATCATCATTGTCATCATTGTCATCATCATCATCATCATCATCATCATCATCATCATCATCATCATCATCATCATCGTTCTCGTTATCATTATCATCATCATCATCATCCTCACTAGCATCAGCAGCATCATCGTCATTATTATTATCATCAACATCATCCTCATCGTCATCATCATTATCATTATCCCGATCCTCCTGATAGTCTTCGTTGTCCTTCTCCTCCTCGTCGTCATCTTCTGCGTCCTCGTCATCGTTGTCGTCGTCGTCCTCCTCTTCCCTTTCCTCCTGCATCAACACCTGACAAGCTGCTCCTCCGCCCCTCCCCACCCTGCGGCCTAGACACCCCCGAAGCGGCCAGGCGAAGAACGAAGCGAGGCGGCGCGGTCCTTTCTCTTGGGCGATGGAGCACTCTTTCTCCCAGCCGCGTCAGCGAGCGCCTTGCAACTACCCCCACCAGTCCAGGCTGAGGAGGAGTAGGAACAAGGAGGCTGAGGAGGACGAGGCTGAGTAAAGATGAGGAGAAGAAGCAGGGAGGAGGAGGATGAGGAGGAGGAACAGTCTGAGAATATGGGGAGGAAGAGGAAGAGGAAGATGAGGGATGGACTGGCGGTGGGAGAACGGCACATACATAGTTGGCCGACCAGGGTCCCATGCAGTACTGTACCGTGAGCATTGCAAACCTCCAAGAAGGTGGAGGAGGAGCAGGAGGATGAGGAGGACCATGATGGCGGAGGTGGAGGGGGAGGAGGCCGAGACGAGGATGATATGAGGAGAAACCGAGGAGCAAACCAGAGGCCTGCTGGTGAGGCAGAGGAGGAGAAGGAAGGACGTTGAGGAGGAAGAAACTGCACGTCGAAGGAACCGATAGAAATGCGACCATCATGATGACCATGATCTGGGCAAGTCGACGCTGACGGGCCCCGAGAACGATCGGGCAAGCACCGTGATGATGCCACCGAGCACGCTGGGCCAGCCAGAAGGCCTGTCCGCTGCGGGCACGGGCGGGGAAAGCTTCCAGCCCGTATTCTGGCCACGAGAGCGCGGATCGGGGACGCGAGCTCACTCGGCAAAGGCCCCAGGCCGCCCCACGGAGATGCCCCCCCGAGCGGAGAGCGCTCCGGGGCGCACGGCCCAGACACTGAGGACACAAGGCTGCCGTGCCCCCCCCGAAGCCAGGGCGGCTCCCGACCCTCGTGCCAGCTGGAGGAGGAGGAGGAGGAGGAGGAGGAGGAGGAGGAGGGGGAGGAGGAGGAGCACAGCCGTCGTGCTACCATCCCGAGCGCCCGCCCAAGGAACGAACAAAAAAGGGCTCGCCTGGCCACGGCCTTCCTCGGCCACGGAGAGGCTCCCCGGCCTGGGCCTCCGCAGCGGCCGGGAGACCAGAGCCCCTCCTCCGCGCAGCGTGGCCCTGCTCTCGGCGCCTTGGCTGCCTCGCCCGCCCGCTCGCAGCCCGTGGCAGCCGCCGTCGCCGCCGCTCACGAGGAGGATGAGGAGGAGGAGGAGGAGGAGGAGGAGGAGGGAGGAGGAGGGAGGAGGAGGAGGAGGAGGAGGAGGAGGAGGAGGAGGAGGAGGAGGAGGAGGAGGAGGAGGGAGGAGGAGGAAGGAGGAGGAGGAGGAGGAGGAGGAGAAGGAGGAGGAGGAAGGAAGAGGAGGAAAGGAGGAGGAGGAGGCGGAGGAGGAGGAGGGGAGGAGAGGAGGAGGAGGGAGGAGGGGAGGAGGAGGAGGAGGAGGAGGAGGAGGAGGAGGAGAGGAGGAGGAGGAGAGGAGGAGGGAGGAGGAGGAGGAGGAGAAGGAAGAGGAGGAAAGGAGGAGGAGGAAAGGAGGAGGAGGAGGAGGAGGAGGAGGAGGAGGAGGAGGAGGGAGGAGGAGGAGGAGGAGGAAGAGGAGGAAAGGAGGAGGAGGGCGTCGCCCGACATGCCCTGCTTACAGCCCGCTTTCAGCAAGCAGTACGGATAGAGGTCACGATTGCTGGCATTTTGGCACGTCGGTAGGAGACAAGTCTACCAGACGAGTCCCACTGTGGACTACCGACAAGCAAATTTTTTTGACAACAACTGACTTGCTACACTTACCTCCCACTCGCCACTGGCACGCCTTATTGTTTAATTCCAAGTCTGGATCGCCAGATTCGTTGTCATGGGATGGTTGGGGAGGGGACTTGGTTTTATGTATTTGGGAGGGGACGGGTAATGACCGCAGCAGGCCGAAGCAGCGCGCAGCCTCATTTCAGGCCCCCCTTTTTTAAGGTGTGGCCCCTCTGCAAGGATCAACCGCCGTTCGCGCCAGCTAATATGGGACAGCTCATTCCTGGTGCACGTTTGTTATTGTAAAGCGGCCTCCCGGATTCAAGTTGCCACCTGACGTGCCAGCAAACATAGAGGCTGACAGTGAAGATCACCAGCCTACGTGTCGATCTTTGCCAGCATGCTAAACTCGCCATTGTATGTGACTGTGTAGTGGAGAACCTATGGGGGGGGGAGGCCCTTGATCACTCTGCATTCCTGCCTAGTTTGAGGTCGCCTGTTGCCACCTCGAGGCCCGTGAACCGTTCGCCAGCACCGTATTCTTAGGCCAGCCTTTACTCATTGCAATTACTCACAGGCCAGCCTCTACAGCTTGCTACAGCCCTCTTAGCATGGCAATGCAGGCCAGCCTTACTCAACCCATCCTTTCTTTACACAGCCGAGCCTCTACAGCTTCAGTCGAAGACCGCACACTAAGCACGACCAGATGAATAAGCTTGTTGGGGGTGGGGGATCATCATGGTTGTGAGGTCAGAGACGGGCCGTTGTTGAGAGGGAAGCTACAAGGTGCGTCAGCGTGCAACCTCCCGCTGCATTACCACCAAGAGGCGGCACTTTTCCCCCATATTTACTGTATACATTGCATCTAGCGTCGCCTCGTCTTACAGGTCTCCCTGTCCTCACCTCTCACCTAGCAGCGGCATTCCAACTAGGGGGGGATAAGAACCACACTGGTGGCCACAATGACGAGGGGCCCACCCTCAGAGCTGATACGGTGAAGGGCTATCCCCTGGAGGGACCGCCAACTCAACGGCTGTGGTTTTTGGTTGCACTTACTTTACGGGCTTCTACGCTGCAGTTTGTTGTTGCACTCCACTCTGCCCTACCCTTGGGGCCATTCGTCCTCGACGCTCGAGCCCAAGTTATCCTCCGCCCGCTGGCCGCCTCGGGCCTGAGGCCGCTGCCGCCACTCGGCCTCGGGCTCGCCATGCGCCGCCCTGCTCCGCCCGCCGTGCCCCCTGCACCGGCGAGCTTTTCCCAGCGCTCCCCGGGCGCTTGTAGCCCCGAACTCCCCCAGGCCCTTCGCTCCTGTAGCCCCCCACAAACCCTTCGCTCCTGTGGCCCCCTGAACCCTTCGCTCCCGCAGCCCGCAGAACTCCCCCCAAACCCTTCGCTCCTGCAGCCCCCCCAGAACCCTTCGGCGGCGCTTCCCGGGCCTCGCGCGCCGCTCCTCCGCGGCTCCCTATGGCAGCGCCCGCCAGGCCCGCGGGAGCTCCCGGGGGGGGCAGCTCCTCGGGCGAGCCAAGGAGGGGTGCCGCAGCGGGCTGCCGGCGCTCGCAGCTCGTGCCCCGGGGGAGGCCGCCCGCCCACCTCGAGGAGCTGCGCCTGCTGGGCCGCCTGCGCGGGCGACACCGCCGGCCTGATCTTTGACAAGGGGCCGACCGTCCCGACATTCCTGTAGTCCTACCACGAGATGTTCTTCGAATCCAAGAATGCTCTAAGAACTAAAGCTATGTTCTTAGAACATCAATCCGATGCGATAACACAAGGCAGCCCCAACCAGAAATGTTCTAAGAGCATTTCGTGGGAACCGCAAAAGGTTCTTAGAACATTGTTTGGTAGGCCTGCAGGCACGCCGGAGCGCTTCGCCACTGCTGGAGACCTCGTCGCCCTTGGACCCGAGCTGGTCCTGCCTCTTCGGTGCAGGCGACGGTGCCCAAGGGGCGCGCGGCCTGCCCACCTCGACGAGCTACAGGCACGGCAAGGAGGCCATGCATCCTCCCGAGGGGCGCGGCTGGACGACAGGGCCACGCGCGGCTCCCGCCGCGCCGCCGCCCGGACGCTCGGCCTCCCTTGCTCGGGGGGGGGGGGGGGGCGAAAGGGTAGGATGGCAAAGGGCAGGGTCGAGAATCAGCTCACGCAACTGGTTCCCCTGGCGCCCCCTGGCGCAGGGAGGCGCCCCATGCATCGAGGCCTGCTATCCCTGAGACCGGCAAGCCTGAAGGCGATGAGAAACTCAGGGATGCACCGTCAGAAACGAACGGAACCCTTCAGAGCGGCATCGGGATACAGGGCAGCTTCTAATACATAGGAATTCTATACTATAGGACTTTAAGACATGACTAATTTAGGAACGCTTGCATGCACGAGCTCATCGTTGTTTTAGATACTAAATCCCTGCATTTTTGATACATGATCCGCACGCGGAGCATGTATAAAAAAACGGCACTGTGAGCTGATGCCCATCGTGGGGACGAGCATGCGCCTCAGGCCGGTGAAACTCGGGGACGCGACCCGCCGAGCTGCAGCGGCGCGTCTTTTGCCCGACTTGCCCACCAGCCGCGCGGCCCCGTGCGCCCCGCCCGGCCCCACCAGGGCCCGGGCGCGCAGAGGTTTTTTTTATTGTTTGTTTTCTTCCTTCCTCCACTGCTGCAAACGACTGCCATCAGTGCCCAACTGATCAGCAGATCCGGAGGATCGCCCAGGTGAGCCTACCCAGGGTGAACAACTGCAGAGCAGCACGGCGCAGGAGCGCGGACAAAGAAGCTGTGTGGACACCCCCGATTGGCCTGGGCGCGCAAAGGGTGGAGCTACCTGGGGTGGCCATCTGAGCCCAGCTCGGGGGCGTCTGGGGTCCTCTTTGGGACTCGTGGGGTCTCCGGGGCCCTCTCGAAAGCCCCTGGGGCCCATCCCGGAGCCCTTGGATCTGGAAAGCAGGACAGGCCGCCCATGTGGGCACACTCGCACACCAACACTTTGAGAGAACTTTCCCTTCCCTGGGCCGCTCCGTCGATTACAATCAAACTTCATAGTACGGATGCACGATAAGGATGCAAGGGCAATGGACGCCCATGCCGAGGCTCTTCGAGCGGGGCTGGTCATCGAGAGTGGTTAAGGATGGACCGAAGAGGCAAGCATGCAAGGGTACCCTTGGGAAGCTTACCCATCCTTGCAATCAATTTCGACAGTACGTCGAGGCCATCTGCAGCGCATCTTGGGCCCCCGCCTGTGGCGGGCGTGGTGGACATGCCCCCCGCCCTGCCGCATGGCCAGCCGCCCGATGGTTTTCCAAATGTGGCTCTCGCAGTAGCTCCGCGCACATTCGTTTCACAAGTTTGCAACAGCTTCACGAATGGAGGGTCGGCGGTCTTCAACATCCTGATCTCTCACTAGCGCCGCGCGCACTCGTTCTTCGAAATGTTGCTCTCGCCTGAGCGTCGCGCATATTCGTCTTGAACTTCTAGAGTAGTCTCAAGGGTTCGCATGGAGAAGGTCCCAGGAAGTGCCTGCTAGCAACATTTAGGAGTGTCAAGACGCAACGCTCAGATTCACTCGCGTTGATTATGTCCCAAGGATGGGCTTCTGGCACGATGTAGGAGCGACGCGACGCAACAGTCACGTTTTTGTTGGTTTTGCCAAAAGCAACACAAAAAACGGAACGGGCGGGAACATAATGGTCCACTGCCCGGCGCGGAACGAAGCCGCCCTTCTACCTGGCACCGACGGCCTGCGCCTCCAATCCAGGCGCAGACCAGACAAATGCAAGACGCGCGAAAGGCCTGGCTAATTAACAGCGGGAGCTTCAACGTCAATTACATCGGCTCAGCTGGCTTTAAATTCCGTGCAAACAGATTGCGAAACCACTTCTTGCCTCGCTCGGCCCACGGCGGGGGAGTATCGCGACTTTCGTGCCGATGATCTATCATGTTCCAGCTTGAGTTCTTCACCGAGGCACTCAGCTGCGACATAACCGCCGCAGCATGCCCGGGACTGTCCCCGATGTGCTTGGCCACCGCGAAGCCCACCTGCTTGTTTACATTGTCGTAGACAGTATAAAACTTCTCCATGAACGGAATGCCGAAGACGAAGAGCGGGCCCTTGGGCGGGGGAACGTCAAGGGGCATCAGAGAGACCTGGCAACCTTCCGCTGACTTGTCGACGTAGTCGTGTGGCTCGAGGTTCAGGATCCGCCCGCCGACGAGAAACCCAAGCCTCGGCAAGTGCTGGTAGTTCGAGCAGTCCGTTAACACGTGCAGCCTCTCAGCCAGCTCGTTGATTACGTTGGACGGACCAGCCAACTCTGACGTCCCCGTGTCCACAGCCACGTGGCAATTGGCGCACAAATCCTGTGGATGGTCGTCGATGGTGATGTCCGCAATCTTGACCTCCCAGTAGCCCGTGTCGCGGGAGACCGGCACCCAGTGCAGGTCCGACGCCATGTGGCTCGCCTTGACGCTGCCGAAGGTGATCTCCGAGGTCTCCACGTCCGACTCGGAGCTGGAGAGGAAGACAGAGTACAGGGTCTGGTGGAGCCTCTGGGTCTCCTTGAGCCTCTCCATCGTGTTGAACATGGAGCCCTGCGACATCGAGGGCAGGGCCAACCCGAGCACCCCGTCGAAGTTGAAAGACATGAAGGGGGACTTGGTCTCGTACGTGGCTGTGATGAAGGATCCAGGGTAGCAGACGGGGCCAAGGCAGATCTGGTCATGGATGCACCTGCCCCAAACCTCCCCGGTGCCGAACAATATGCTGACCTCGTCCTGTGCGTCACCGCTGTCTTGGACGCCGTCGCAACGAACACGGTGCATGGAGGAAGATTCAGACTGGTTGTAGCGGGCGTGGGCGATACATGCCTGGCTGTTGCAATCACTCGCAGGCACCAGCAGGTTCCCGCTGCCAGAGTCGAACACGACTTGGAACGTCTGCTTTGGGGTGCCGACATCGACGCTTCCGAAGTAAGCAGTTTTGTGGATCACCTTTGTCTTGGTCCTCTCGCCGCGGTGGCCTCGGAGGCCAAAGTGCGCCCGATAGACTTGCTGGCCCTCCTTGATGGTCTTCCTGCCCAGCTTCACCGTAGCCTCCATGCCAACAGCGTCGCCACATGTGGTGAGGAGGCCGAGTAACATCATCTGGAGAGCCAGCGTTGTCTGCGCCATCATCCCCTTGCGCTGAACAAGTGTTGACATCGCTCCCTGATAAAATATGCATGAAAGGTAGATCATGAGCAGATATCCTTGACTCCTTGACCCATGTCTTGAGCCAAGATGGCGACAGAAAACGCAACAGTCATGTTGATGCGCGACGCTGAAGTCTAATTTCCTCCTCCTTCCTTCCTACTGCCCGTCCATCCCTCTCTGCCTTATTGGAGGCCTCCTAGATGGGGTCGGAGTAGATGGGGTCGGATGATCTCGCCGACATCGGCGATGCATCAGCGATACATCGCCGATGCATCGGCGATGCATCGGCGATGCACCGGCGATGCGTCGCCGACGTCGGCGACGCATCGGCGACGTCGGCGTGGAGAAAATCAGGCTCCGCATCGAGCCGCATCGTCGTTGCATCGGAGATGCGGCGCGACCCTCCGACCACATTGGCTCGGACCCCATCTAAGGAGGCCTGGACTCCTGCCCACTTCTTCTCCCCATGCTCCTCCTGCCTCGCCCTCGCCGCCGCCGCCGTCGTCGCCGCCCGCCTGTTTGCCGCCCTCCCCCTCTCTGACGCCCCTGCTGCCCCCCGCACCAGCTGCTCAGGGGAACGAAAGATGACATAAACATGACAACTCGGAGGTCCGCGCGGATTTCTCGGCTACGCGCTGGACCCCCTCCCTGGCGCACGGAGCGCGCCAGGGGCGGCGCCGCCAGGGGGGTCCAACGCGGATCCGAGGAATCCGCGCGGACCTCCGAGTTTTTATGTTCATGTCATTGTTCGATCCCCGACTTACCAGCCTGGAACATATCCCTATCCCTATGCTGGGCATTCCCTCATCACGATGCCAATCTCAGGGATTCCCTCATTTTTTGAGGGCGCATCCCTGAGACTGGCATCGCCTTTGGACGTGTCAATCTTGGGGATGGGGAGAAGTTCGAGGCTGGCAACCTGCCTGCTGCCGCCGTGCAAGACCGGGCCGGCGCCTCGAGCGTCAGCGTGCCCGGCCGGACGCCCGCCTCCCGCGGAGGGGGCGGAGGGCTCGGGCGGCAGGGCCGCGCGGCGGCAGCGGGCGGGGCGGCACGGGGGGGGGGGGCGGGCGCAGAGGGGGGCCCAGAGATTTGGCGGCGCGCAGAGGGGGGTGGAGGGGGGGGGAAGGCTTCTTAGAAGGAAGCTGCTTCTTAGAAGGCGCGAGCATTACATCTACAGACAAGGCACGCGCCTTCTAAGAAGCAGGGGTGCTTCTAAGGAGCCTGCCCCCCTCCCCCCACCCCCCTCTGCGCGCCGCCAAGAGATCACGGCCCAGGGCGTGTGGCCCTGGGAGGCCGGAAAACGGCAACCGCATCTCCCGCCGCGTCTTTTTTCCCATAGCGAGTCGGGGGGGAGGAGGGGCAACGGTTCCGACCGCTTCCCCAGGGGTAGTTTTTTTTCCGACGGCAGGAGACCGATGCGCACAGTACTATCAACCATTGCGTGACTGAGGTCGCGTGCTGACTGGCAGTGAGACGCCCCGCGCACGCACCGCAACCCCGTGTACAACACGGCCACTGGGATGCCGGCAGTAGTGCTCGTCGCTGCAGTGGGTTACGGGGATAGGAGGAGGAGGAGGAGGAGGAGGAGGAGGAGGAGGAGGAGGAGGAGGAGGAGGAGGAGGAGGGGGCGGAGGCGGAGGCGGAGGCGGAGGCGGAGGCGGAGGAGGAGGAGGAGGAGGAGGAGGAGGAGGCGAGGGAGGAGGGGGAGGAGGAGGAGGAGGAGGAAGAGTTTTTCGTCCTGGATCCGTTTTGAAACCCAAAACGGTCCCCTCCAAGAGGCCACAATCTGAGCAGAACGTCCGGATGGCGACGGTCACATCTTCGGCTCGCCGTGCCTGTCACGGCCCCCCGAGAGGAGGCCCGCCGGGTGGCGGCACTCGACCTCGAAGTCGGTCCCCAGGCTTGGGCGTCGCTCCATGGAGGGGCGATAACCCTGACCTTCTAGGAGGGCTCAAACATAGCAGCAGAACCTTGGCATTTAGATTCCTGCTGGAGTTTTCAGCAGTCCTGGTAGGTCTAAGGTCTGGAGGGTTATTTTTTTAGCAGTCTGGAGGGTCAGGGAAATGGGGGGAGACCCTCGAGGCCCCCGTGTGGGCCCCTCAAGGGCTCCTGGAGGGGCCCTAACCGGGCACTTTTTTTGCAGCCCTCGTTGTTCCTTTTATGTTGATTGTCTTTTTTTATTCTGCGAGGCCCAACTGGGCCTCTCCAGGAGTCTAGCTGGGTCCACTCCTTGAGCTGCGTCCAGCCGTGACGGCGACGGGTGCCCGAGGGCCCATACCCTCGGACATTCGAGCCTCGAAGCTCGGACTTCGAATCTCGAGCCCCCAGAAGGAGGCCGGAGGTGGCCCGCGGGCTGTGCCAAACATCTCCGCCGACCACGCGCAGGACCTGAATTGTGTCCTGCACGCCTCTCGGCGCACACAGGGTCGCAAGAGACAGAGGTCGTTGCAGGTGGCCGTGTGCTCCTCACCCTACCGAGCTTCAAACGCAGGCGCGCCCGGCAAGGCCTCCTGAGGACAAACGCGCCCATCCAGGGGCACCGGCACCCCCCCCACGAAGAAGAGGCGACGGCGGCGGCCCCGCGACCTGCAGCTCCCTCCAGAACCATCGCCCATCCAGACACGGCTCCTGCTCCTCCCCCATGCGCTCGTTCCCAAAAACGTGCGCGCCAGAGGCGTCCTCATGAAGCCACACACGATGAATACCTTCGTGGCAGGGTGGCACCACGGGCATGGCGAAGACCCGCCACTTGCGCACACGAGGGCAGGGCCACCAGGCCTGGGTGGCGCCACGGACCCCACGAGGGCCCGCCACTTTCGCCACCAGGCCTGGAGCCCCACCCGTCTATGCAGGGCTTCGTTCTTCCTCCTCCTCCTCCTCCTCCTCCTCCTCCCCGTGCCGACTCCATTCGGTACTGGTTCACGGGGCGCCACCACGTAAGAGTTCTATGCATTCGGGAAGCATCCCATAGCCGACAGATGCCTAGGATCGTATGCCCATCCCTGCCGATGGGCAGGCATGCGCATCCGCTCCTCGTGCCTGCAGCTGGGACGCTCGTCCCTATTGATGGACAGGTATGGTCATCCCGTCCTCGCAATGAGGGTCTTGCTGCGCACCGCGAGTCGGCCGTATCGCCGCTGCGGGTGCGGCAACATTCGACAATTAAGATGTCAAGTAAGCAACGTGTTGGTCTGGACGCCTATCCCTCGCGATGGACAGGCTTGGGCATCCGAGAAACTTGGCCCGCCCCAGTGGCCGTGAGGCGACCATATTGCAATTGCCGGCGCGCTGACCTGGAAGCCCAACCCTGTCGATGGACAGGCATGGGCATCCGCTCGTCGCGCCGTCCCTGCTGATGGCACCCCGCCGTCGCAAAGAGAGTCTTGCTGGGCAGTGGGCACTTTTGCCAACCATCACGATGCGGCAACGTTCGACCCGCGCGATGTCACGCAAGCGCCGTGTTCGACTGGATGCCCACCCCTATCGAGGGGCAGGCATTGGCATCCGCTCCTCGTGCCTAAAGCTGGGATGCCCATTCCTGTCGATGGGCAAGCATGTGCACCTCGCCTTCGCAATGCGGGTTTTGCCAGGCATCCGAGAAGGCCAGCCCGTCGCCATGGCCGAGGGTTCGGCCAAATTGCAGTTGCTGTCGCGGAGCCGAAAGTGTCAGACAATTGATCGACCAATCCTACCAGCCGTTCAGGGCGTGAGTGATTTAGGGAGTTTCTTCTTCCAGCCCCCCTTCTTCCCCTCCGGGGAAGGGTTTATCCCTCCCCCTACCCCCTCTCCCTGGACCTGGACGGGAACGTGTTCTGGGAGCCGTTTCGTCGACGAGGCAAGGGGTGCCACTCCGCCAGGCGCCACTGCCAAAGGGACACCGCCGTCAGCGCCCGCCGCCGCGGCGGGGGCGGTGGCCGCAAGGGGGACACGTGAGGATGAAGTCGCCGCCAACCCGGGCGTCGTTGTCGTTGGCGCTGGTCTTGTCGGCATCGTCGGGGCGGGGCGGGAGGCGGTCGCCGTCGCCGTCGACAGCGTCGTCGTCGCGGGGGCTGCCGTCGCCCCGAGTCGAGTCAGAACCGCCACCTTGGTCGCCGCCGCAACCAGGGCCGCGGCCAGGGCCGCCGGGGAAAAGGGGGCCCCCGAGGCTCCCAAGGATGCCCCAAGCGGGCCCCAAGAGGCGTCCAGGAGCTCCCAAGAGGCTCTCAAGAGGCTCCCAAGAGGTCCAAGAGGCCTCCAAGAGGCCCCCAAGAGACCCCCAAGAGGACCAAAGAGGCCCCCCAGAAGCACCCAAAACGCCCCAAGAGGCCTCGGCGAGAATGCCAACATCGCTGATGATACTCTGGTTTTGGAGTTCCTTGGCCCCGAAATGGCCCCCGAGGCTCCCAAAGGGTTCTCAAGATGCCCATCGAGTTTTCCGAGAGGCCCCAACGATGCCCCCAAGAGGCTCCAAGGAGACCCCCAAGAGGCACCCCAAACGCCCCAAGAGGCCTCTGGGACTGTCAAGAGACCCCCAAGACGCCCCATGAGGACTCCAAGAAACCGTCGAGCGAAATCCAGAGAGACTCCGAAAGGAATCCAAAACGCCTCTGGCTTTTCTGCTCGCCCTCTTCTTCCTCCTCCTCCTCCTCCTCCTCCTCCTCCTCTCCTTCATCCGCCTGTTCTTCCTGCTTTGTTGTTCCTCCTCCCCCTCCCCCTGTCCCTACTCGCCGTCCTCCTTTTACTCCTCCTCCGGTTCCTTCTCCATCCTCCCCTTTTAAGGGTATGACGTTTTAACCAACCGGTTATTTCACAGCATTCTGCTCATCATCCCTGATCAGGGCAGCTCGTGTACGCATCATTCCTGGATGGGCGGGTGGGGTCACGCAATGCGTCCGAAATAAGAGCGTTTGAATTCGATGACAGAGGACACACACTGGCAGTGCGTATTCAATGTCGAGTACCTGCAAGTGGCGTCTATCCACGTCAGCATCGTTGTGCATGCGCCAGAAGTCCCCGGCGATGGACAGGCATTGGCATCCGCACCTCGCGCCTACAATTGAGGTGTCCAATCCCGTCGGTGGATAGGCATGGACACCCCACCCTCGAATTGAGGGTGTCGCTCGGCATCCGAAGAACTTGCCCGTGTGCGGCCATGAGGCGGCCAACCGTCGCGGGCGCAGCATCTTCATCTTCGTCATTGATCGCGTTTCGTAGCCACCGCGTTTGCCTGGATCCACATCCCTGTCAATGGACAAGAATTTGTATCCGCACCTCGTGCCTACAATTGGGGTGCACGGACAAGGCTGGGCACTCTGCCCTGGCAACCAGGGTCTTACTGAGAACCAGGAACTTTGGCCCGCAGACGACCATGCCGCATATGCGGGCGCGGCACCACCCGATATTTACAGTGTCAAGTGGGCGCCCTGTAGCTTGGTTGCCCAGCTCCGCCATTGGACACGCATTGGCATCCGCTCTTCGTGACTAGAGGTATGATGATAATCCGTGTCGATCAACGTGAACGGGCATCTCGCCTTCGCTCTGGAGGTGCTGCTGCCTCTCCGATCGCGGATAACCGCGCATTTTGATGTGCGGCGAACCCCATGGTGGGCTGGGGGCTGAGCGGCGCGACGCATGAAGCGGAGAGGCATGTAATTTGTTATACCGCTGCAAACATATACTCTCGCTGTAACTCCCAATAAGTTCAGGTCGTTGCGGTGAGTGCCACGTTACGCCCCTAGCGACATTGCCCCAACGGGCGCGAGGCTCAAGCTAAGCCGTCGTACTCGAGGCAGGATACGGCGCCCTGTCCTCGGGTGGTGCACCCTGGTGGTGCGCCAGGCCTCTGGTTCCACCGACAGGGTTCAGGCTCCCCTAAACACTAAGCATCCTCCTCTTGGCGCGACGGACGGGTCAGTGCGCCGCTCGCGCGCACCCTGAAATCACCCTACGCCGCGGCCTCAAGGTAGAACAATTTCACCGCCCCCGCCCGCGCCCTCGGCGCGTAGCTCGCCGGCTCCTCGGCCAACGCGGTCGCCGACGCCCCGGGGACGTCGTTGCTAAGGGCGGCGCGGAGCTGGCGCGCTGTGGCGCGGCGCAGCGCCGTCCTCGGCTCGGCGCCCCAGCGCGCGGGGAGGGCGCTGGCGGCGGCGGCGACGGCCTGTGGCCCGTCGCCGAACAGCTAGCCGTCTCCAACGCCGTCGGGGCGGGGAAGCGCCCGCCAGGGCGCGCGGCCGGCGGGGCAGCGCCACGTCCGCTACCAGCCGCGGGCACCTTGCGCTCTGGGCGTCGAGGTCCACGGCATCCTCGCGGCCCATCTTCAGCGAAGCCTCGCAAACCCTGCAGGCCCCTGGCGGCGGGGCGTCCGCGTGGCCGGTCGCGCACGTCCAGCCCCAACGGCCCCAGGCCAGGACGTGGACGTGGCGCGCCGTTTGGAAGCCGCACTCGGCGTGAATGCGCTCCCAGACTTCTTCGACGTCGCGGCTGCGCGCCTTGGTCCTTCCGCCGCAAACGCAGCGGAAAGCGCGGTGCGCCTTGCAGCCGAAGGGCTGGCCGGCTCGGGCGCCCGTTCGCAGCATGTTCCAACAGCGACTGCTCGGCGGCACCAGGTCCTGGCCCACCAGCGCCCGCGCCGTGTCCAGGCAGGCCCATTCCTCAAGGCGCTGCCAGGGCCCGCCTCCTCCTCCTCCTCCTCCTCCTCCTCCTCTCTCCTCCTTCTCCTCCTCCTCCTCCTCCTCCTCCTCCTCCTCCTCCTCCTCCTCCTCCCTCCTCCTCCTCCTCCTCCTCCTCCTCCTCCTCCTTCCTCTCCTCCTCCTCCTCCTCCTCCTCCTCCTCCTCCTCCTCCTCCTCCTCCCACCCCCTGTTCCTCCTCCCTCCCTGTCCCCTGTAGCCACGCCCGAATGGACCTCAAAACGAACGAGACCAACCCACCTGCGGCCCCACAAGCCTTAGCGTATACCAGGACATTCGGCGTGGGCTTTCGCGTGGTATGCGTTACGGCCCCCGGTGGGCCGTAGCGCAACATGGAAGGCCGTATGTGGGGTGGTGCCGTTTTTGTCTTCTGGTAACCCGAGAAGGAGGCGACGGCGGCGGAACCCGCGGCCTCCAGCGCCCTGTGGAACCACCGCTCGGCGCTCTGCAGGTCCCCTCGCCGGGACGCCGCACCTCGGCCGGCGCGTCCCGGCGCTCCCAGGGCGCGCTCGGCTCGGCCGGCTTCGGGGCGACTCGATACGCTCGCGCCGGAACACAGTCGTCTCCGACGGCGTGGTTTTTCACCCTGGGCGTCTTTCTTCGATGTCGGCCTCCCACGGCTGGCATCAGAACGTCTGCTCTCGGGGACGAACATCTGCTCTCGGGGAAGCGGTCGGGACCTCTGGGGCCGCGATTCGGAAACATATTTTCGGCGGGTGTCAGGGTCGTCGTCGTCGCGGTCGGGGTCGCGGTCGTCGTCTTCGTGGTGGGCGTCCTCCGCCTCCTTTCGTTGCTAAGAAATTGCCGCGAGAATGGTTTGGCAATGCTCTGCTTCTGGGGACCCCCGCCAGGCCCCGAAATCAAAAGAAAACCGGGATGAAGAACACGTCCCAGGGAAGGGGTCTAGACATCTTAGTGTCCGCGCTTTTGTTTAATATGTATGCATATATGTGTATACAACATCAAAAACACGATGTCGGTCATCCTCGTCGTCGTTGTTGACGTCGCGGTGAACGTCGTCGTCGTGGTCGCGTTTGTGGTCGTCGACGTCGTCAGAAGAGGTCGTCGTTGTGGTGGCCGTCGTCGTCGGAGTCCAGGGAAGCTGGCAATTCGAGGGGCTGGAATCATAATCGACAAAGAGGTTTGAGTAGAGGAAGTGGCGTCGGACCCCGCCCGCGCGAGAAAAAAAAGCGGGCCCAGGCCCCCCGACAAATGAAGCCGCGCGCCCGCCATGCTTTTGCAAGGCCCTCAGCAAGCCCCAACCCAACGCCGCTCCAGCGGAGGTGACAAGCAGCCCCCAGGCGAGCCCAGCCACAGAGGCGTGAAGCGCCGGCCCGCAGCGGACCAAGACAGAGATTCTGGCAACGGCCTGGGAAGGGCGGGGGTGGCCCAAATTGTTGATATCAATGGGTTGGCCAGCCCAAAAACAAATATACACATATTCTGGCGCAGCGAACGAGCGCCCCGCCGAAGCCGCAAAACTACAGGCGCAAGAAGCAGGCCTGCAGTCAGCGAGGAATCAATGCAGTTGTCCGCGGCGGCCTGGGCAGGGCGGGGGCGGGCCAACCGATTGGAATCGCTGGATCGCCCCCCCCCCCCCCAACAAAAAAAACAAACATCTCAGCTGCGGCGACGGGGCTCCCGCCAAAGCTGGCAATCACAAGCGCGAAGGCAAGTCCGCAGAGGAGGAAAAACAAACAAATTCTGCGCGGTGGCCTGGGGGGGGCGGGGCTGCAAACCCAGACAAGAAATGCGCATATGGTTGGTGGGTCGAACAACTGAAAAACCACGCGGGGTCATGCGCCCCCCGTAGTCTGGAGCCGCGGTCTCATTCGGGATGGCGCGCCGAAGAGGGGGGGCGTGACTGGACCAGGAGGGGGTGAGAGAGAGGGCGAGGGGGAGGGAAAGGAGGACCAGTGGGGGCGCTTCCCGTGCTGCCGGCTCCTCCTCGCCACCGCCCTAGTTGCGGGGGTGTCCGTCGCGCCGCTTGGGGCTTCCAGTTGGTTGCCCGCGACGAATCCCGCGGCGGCCCTGGCCGCGATGACGGGGCCCAGCTGTGGCAGGCCCCGGGCTGCTTCGGTCCGCCCATCGCCAAGGTGGACCTTAGAGGCCTGTCTTGGACAAACAGCGAGGCGATCCCTGGTTTGGCCAGCCCTGGATCAGGGGGAACTCCCTTATGTAAAACGGCGCAGCCTGCCCGAGCCCAGAAGGCTACGAGACAGGAGGAGAGGGGGAGAGGGAGATAGGCGAGTGGCGGGCCCAGGAATCCAACTATTTCTGGCCAGGTCCAAACGAAACCATTTGCTCTAGCCACCGAAGGAGACGTTGTTGTGACCTGGTCGTCGGTCACCTCGACAAGGAAGCTGCATATCTGAGCACCCTTGCCTGTGCCCTTGCCTTTCGCAGAGAGAGAGAGAGAGAGAGAGACAGAACGTCCATTATTCGGGATAAGCCTTCTGGCTTTTGTGGTGGGCGTTTGCATATGGCGTCGCCGCTGATTTTGGGATCAACCTCTGAAATGATCTGGTGAGTGAGCGATTGCTTCTCCGAGGTCTGAGCTGGCGTCGGAACTGGCGTCACTAGCATGCTCGAGGTAGACCTTCGCTTCCTCGGCGCGCGGACACGCGGCGGCAGGATATGCGGCCTGCGGCGGCGCATCGCGCTGCTGAAAGCTGCCGGCGCAGGCGAAGGCGCCTCCCGCACCAGGGAGTTCGGCAGCGCTGGCAGCTCAAGGGTCAAGCCCCTGTGAGTGCCAAGGGTCCGTTGCGCTTGCGTCGTGGCTGTTGTCGCTGGTCACGCTTACAACTTCTCGGAAGGATGGTGGCGTACTTTTAGTCAGCGGCCGCAGGCGAAGGCGCCGACGGCGTGTCCAGTCAGAGCGGGGCGCGCAAAGACGAATTAACCGAAAGCCAATGGGCCGAGGATGGTGGCGTACGGGAAGCGCTGGCGATGCTGTTGGGTGCGTGCTCCACAGTGCGACCAACGTGCCTGGGCATGGTCGAAAGACTGCTGAACTCGCGCTCTGCGACTGGATATCGCTCACTGGAGGGCTGGAACAGCGTCATGCGTTGGCTAGCGGCATCGGCGACCGCTCTCTGAGGAGCAGCCAGCTACAGCCCCCCGTGGCATCGCAGTTTGACCGTTGTGAGTTTCTCGGAGTCACAGCGTGAGGAAGCGCGAATCCAGTACATCGGTGGTCTCCTTGCGTCGATTCGTGGACTCGAAGAGCTCGCGTGTAGCCTGTAGGCATGACTCTTGACAACATGGTCCAAATTGGGTCGCGAGGTTTGCGGTTCGGTAGGCGACGGCGTCTTCAGGTTATCCGTTGGCCAATCCTCCTCCTGTCATCTCAGTGGCGCTCATACAACGTGTAAGCTCGTGAGCGGCGCCGCCGAGGCTACGGGTGATGGCAGCAAACTGTTGGGCGCAATCCGAATCGGTGGCGAACATGCTCCAAGCGAGTCGGTCGTGCATCCAGTGGCGAAACGGGTCGGCTGAGTCCCGTTCGGGTGACCACTAAATGGCTGGCGGGAAGATTGCCACCCCTGCTACCCCCTCCGCCTTGTTAGGCTCGTCCAGGAATCGTACAGACCAGCCAAAGCAAGCGAACACGGAAGGGGTGAGGATACTGCCCAATAGTGCCAAGTTGGAGATCATCCCAACAAAATCGCCGCAACTGCTGCGCAGGCGCCTCGGGACTCGGACATGCACGGGGGCGAACGCCATCTTGATAGCTGAGGCAGTTGAAATAGTAGTGGGGCCCTTGATGATGTGCGAGGGTGGACAGTTACATGAGACGGCCCGAAGCGATTCGGAGTGCTCAGCGCGCTCACTAAGACGTGCGCCAACACTACTGCACTCAGTCCGAACCCAAACATTGGCCCAAGTGTGTAGTATGGCGATGACGCCCCACTGTCAGTGCCCAAACGTTGTGATGGTGAGGTGGCTGAGGCATTGCTCCCTCTTTGGGCCGGCTTGCCCCTGCATCTGGCCATCTGTCTCCTCAGAGACGGTACACTCACATGGTCACCTGCGGTCGTTGGCGTTGGCCTCGTCGCGCCTGTGGGTGAGGTGGGCGGCTTACTGTGAGTTTTGCAGAATAGCCATAACAGAAGCTGCTCAGGCAGTAGAGGGTGGTATCAATGCGGGAGGTGAGGGAAGTGCGACTGTGCGTCCACATCGCACTCTGCGCGACTTCAGTGGATCGCGAGCTGGGATCGTTCCAATGTCTGCTGCCAAATAGCATTGCGGGGCTTGGTGGTGGCTTGTAAGAAAACGCGGCGGAGGTACAGCGGACCTCTTGCCATATTAGATGCATGCGCTCCGAAGCTGCGAGCCCAGCTATCAGCGAGGCATCCTATCCGACTCAGGGGGATGAGGAATGGCGAGGAGAGGAGGATCATGAGGAGCAGGGGGAGGAGATGCGGAAGAGCGGCAGGTAGAGGAGGAGGAGGAGGAGGAGGAGGAGGAGGAGGAGGAGGAGGAGGAGGAGGAGGAGGAGAAGGAGTAGGAGAAGGAGGAGGAGGAGGTGGAGGAGGAGCAGGAGGAGGTGGAGGAGGAGTAGGAGAAGGAGTGTGAGAATGAGGAGGAGGAGGAGGAGGAGGAGGAGGAGAAGGAAAAGGCGGAGGAGGAGGCAGAGGAGGAGGAGGTGGCAGAGGAGGAGGAGGAGGAGGAGGAGGAGAAGAGATCGGGAGACGAGGGAGACGAGTCAGGAGGAGGGGTCGCCCCCGAGGCGCCGCGGCTGCTCCAACTCCCGTTCTGGGCGAAGCGCCTGCCCGGAAGAAGTGGGATTAGGGAGGGGGTCCCGGCGCCGAACCGAGCCATCCGCGGGATCTCCGAAGGCTCACACTTGTGCTGTCCCCGAAGACAGCACAGCACACCCCCAACCCCAGCCAGGACCCCCACTTATGACCTCGTGATCCATGGGGGGCCTGAGGGGGAACGAGGGCGTCTTTCTTTCTGGCCCCCAAGAAGTCCTCAGCAAAAACGCCCTCCACCCACAGCCAGGACCCCCTTGGACGGACCACCAGATCGGGGGTGTGGGGTCCTGGCTGGGGTCGGGGGTGGGCTGGGCTGTCCTCAGCCTCGCGTATCTCGACGGGGCAAGAGATCCGAGATCGGCGGCGCGCCCACGGGAGGGGGGGGGGGCAGGACGGCAGCGGGCGCGGGCCTTCTCAGAAAGGCTCCCGCGGCCTTCCGAGGAGCCTCCCGGGCCTTCCCCGGAGCCGCGGAGGGCTCCTCGGAGGGCTGGAGGGCGGCTCTGCCGCCCCGCCGCCCTCTGAGAGAGGGCCCGCCCTCCCTCGCTGCCGTTCCCCTCTCGGCGCGCCGCCGAGGAAGGGGGGTCCGAACATGGTCAAGAAGATTTGGGGCAGCGTGTCGCGGCGGCGGTCTCGGCGACACGCTGTGCCCTGCAGGCGGCAGCGTGCCGCTCCGCTCCGCGGGGCGGGAGGTCGGAAGAGCTCGGGACGTTGACGCCAGGCGGCCGGGGAGTACATAGCGCGTCGCGCCGAAGTGTGGTGGGCACGAATTGGCGGAGCGACACGAGCACGATCACGAAGCCATACGACGTCCGGCGCGTAGGCGGGAAACGGAGGAGGAGGAGGAGGAGGAGGAGGAGGAGGAGGAGGAGGAGGAAGGAAGAAGAAGAAGAACTTGGAGAGCGACGCGCTAAGCCAACATTCCTGACCGCAAGCTCTCGCAATGCCGATATCGCACCGACTGCCTCGCTCGCCCATGCCGCCCAGGTTCCGACCGCCGTGCTCGCGGGTCGTGGCCGCGCCCCCCCCGCTGAGGGTGCCGCTGACGAGCGAGAAGTACATCGCCTGCGGAGGCTGTGGCAACCAGCGAGGTGGCCCCTCTCGCGGGGGGAGGAGGAGGAGGAGGAGGAGGAGGAGGAGGAGGAGGAGGAGGAGGGAGGAGGAGGAGGAGGAGGAGGAGGAGGAGGAGGAGGAGAGAGGAGAAGAAGGAGGCGGCGGAGGAGGAGGAGGAAGAGGAGGAGGAAGAGGAGAAGGAGGAGGAGGAGGCGGAGGAGGAGGAGGAGGAGGAGGAGGAGGATAAGGAAGAGGAGGCGGAGGAGGAGGAGGAGGAAGAGAAGGAGGAAGAGGAGGAGGAGGAGGAGGAGGAAGAGCAGGAGAAGGAGGAGAAGAAGGAGGAGGAGGAGGAGGGGGAGGAGGAGGAAGGAGGAGGAGGAGGGAGGAGGAGGAGGATGGAGAAGAACCAACGTTATCTGGGGGCGTTCGTCCGCGCGGACGCGGCAGCTAGCCCGCGCTGCCGACGAGGCAGGGGGCGAGCGCCATATGGCATGGCGATCGGCGGCCACGGCGGTGGTGCTCTTGGGGCAGGCGGGCAGGCAGGATCAGGAGGAGGAGGAGGAGGAGGAGGAACAGGAAAGGAGGAGGAGGAGAAGAAGGAGGCCCGAGGCGAGGCCGTATCGGTTAGGAGGCAACTGCTGGGACGTCTTCGTCGAAGGGATAAAGGAGGTTAAGCCCAATTCGGGGGCCGCTACGCCGGATTAGGCCGCGGATTCAGCTGGATTAAGGCGGATTAATGCGGATTCTCCTGGATTCAACGCGACCCTGCCAGAGAGTAGGCCGGATATTGGACCAGGGCAATCGGAATGAAATTGCATCCGGAGATCGGTTCTGGAATTGGCCAGGTCGCGCCTGAATGGCCGCGGGATCGGCTTGTTCGAGGTCGCGAATCGGGCCTTGCTCCTGCAAGCCAGAGAGGGGTTCGTGCCAGACCAGGTCGGGTCGCGAGCAGCCCTGCCCGTTCCAGCGCAGATTGCGGAGCCCGTGGCACATCGCGTGCGTCGCCATTTGTCTTCCATGGTCCTCATTGTGGCTGTGCATACAGGGCGTTGCCACTCTGGCCTCGCGGCTTAAAAGGAGCGCAATGCCATGAGGACGCCCCCCCCCACCAACATATGTACATGTATGTATGTATGTATGTATGTATGTATGTATGTATGTATGTATGTATGTAGGTATGTATACATTACAACAAATTCGGGACGTTGGCTGGCACCCGTCAAACATGGAGGAAACACAGAAGAGGGCCATGACTAAGTGTGAACGCGGAAATTTCGTGTCGACCTTGGTCACCGTCCATCTTGGTCAGCTTCAATTCGTAGATCATCTTCGCGAATCAGCGACGGTCGGCGTGGCCCATGACCACGATCGGCGTCGACAAGAACCCGCGACATCTTGGGCATGGTTAGCGTGCTCCTTCCCTCAAAGAGCACGGCGCACGAACATCGCTGGGACTTGGGCGCGCTCGGTTTTCCTCCCCTTGCCCCCTCCAAAGTCTTGCTGCACCCTACCGCGACATCTGGTCGGACCGCGCTCGCTCGGCGCTCTACTCACCAGGGCGATCCCGGGGATCCGCGTCGCGGCCCCGCTTCGTTCGTTAGCTGGGTCGCATCATTCACCTCTCTTCGCTCTTCTGTTGTTTCTATTCCTCATCCTCGCAAGCCCTCCCCTGTTGCTCATTTTCCTGTTGGGCCGCTGCGCGTTCGTGCCTGCCGTCTGCAGCCCAAGTGCTTCTTGCCACGCTCCTCTTCGCAACGCTTAAGCTCCGCTGCCCGATTGGCTGCTGCCGAAAGTGGCCTGGGAGTTACCCCGGCGCCCGACCCCGGTGGGGACAGGAATGGGGATAACGAGAACAGAGTAGGGGTGGCACAACACACAATGGCAAACGTAAGAGGAGAACGAGAGGACGGATGAGAAGAGGTAGGAGGAGGAACACGAGGAGGAGTCATGATACATACGCACTGAGAGTGGGTGGGATGATGATGGTGGATCACGACAGTGACGGGGTTAGAAAGTGACGGGATACTGACAACATCTGTTTCAAACGCGCGTATTTACATTCACCAGTCAGGGCCATCTTTGCCACAACATCCATCGTGATTCATACATGTCGACAATCCCCGATCAAAGCCAAGGCTTCGCCGACTAAACCTGCGCTGACGCTTGCCGCGTAGCGTGGGAACGGGACACGCAAAGGAGGGATGCGAGTAGGCATTGGAAAGCAGGGGAGGGAGCAGGAGGGGCACGAGGAGGCGGATCTGAACATTCAGGATTGCTTCCAACATCAACAAGTGAACGCACGGCCGCACCTCCACCGAGTATGGGTGCAGCCGCACCCCCCACTGAATATGGGTGCAGCCGCCAACAGGTTGTGGCCGATCGGAAAGAGCGCCCAGATCACCTGCGTCAACTTTGCAACTCCCTCGAGCGGCCGAAACACGGGATGGCAACGCCGGCCTCCCCGAGCCCACCACGCTGCGTGAGAGATACCCTGCCTGCGAGGACTCACCACAAAAATGATCTCAGGCGGCCACCCATCGCCCGAAATCGGCGCGGTCAGCCCCCAAGCTGGGGTGAAAACACAGACGCGAAGCAGTAGGGTGGGAGGGCGACCCAAGTCCGAGAAAGCGGCACCCAAATCCAGCGTGGAGCTAGAGTTCCGGATGTCACGACAATGGACACCCTAACAGTCCTATTATTGAATTTCAAAATGTTCAAAATGTCGGAACATGTCCTAAATGTGTTTTAAACATGTTCCACATACTTAAAGCATGTTTAACACATGTTTTAGACATCTGGGAATTATTTGGCAGCATGCTTCCTCTCCATTGATCGTCCTCCACAAAGCTAGAGCGTGGCGGCGGCTGCCCCGAGAGCAACTGGACCAGCTCTCGCCGCAGCCAGCTGGTCAGACCAGCACTCGACGCCTGGAGGAGCCACGCGGCGCGAAGTAAAGCAATAGCGAAGTAGTCAGACGAAAACTGAAACAGCGCGCTGCCTGCTTGGCAGGCCGTCGGAAAGCGGAACAGCGGGCCTCGCGGAGCTTCCGCATTCGCGGAGCTGGGAACCGATCTATCCTTATCCACCGCCTGGGAACCGACGCCCTGGTGCCCCAGCGGGCGGTGGATATGGATATATTTCGGATCCCGGGGGCCCGAATCTGTCCATATTCACCGCCTGCCGAGGCTCCGAAAACGGACCCTCCATGCGGTGGCCATGTGTAAATTCCCGCCTCGGATCAGAGGCGACTCTGCGAAGGACCCGGCCAAGGCGTTCTTCTTCGTGAGGAGGGATGGGGATCAGCAGGAGGAGGATCGGGTCGGGCAAAAGGGGGGGATAGCAAAGGGGGGGTTTGAGAATCAGCTCCCGTAGCTGATTTTCCCGGCGCCTCCCGGCGCCGAAGGCGACCATGTATCGAGGAATGGGCCCCTCGGTAAAGCCGAAACCAGCTGCATGCAGCAAATTTCGTACCCCCCCCTTTCCCAATCCCCCCGTTTCGCCCGGCCCGAGAGGAGGAGGCTCATTCATGCCCTCAGCCGGCCGACAGGTCAACGCATTGCAGGGTGGCAGCATCGTCTTTTCGGGTCGGCTCCAGCGGAACATCCGGCCCCGCATGCTCTGGTCTGCGAGCGCAGCAGGCAAGGGCAGGCATCGTTCCTTGAAACCTCGGACCTGCCCCCCCCCCCCCCCGGAATAATTAAGCTGGCATTAAGTCGGGCCTGTCCCCCTACAGGGGGATTTGGTGCGACAAATTAAACCAGTACCCAAGACATACCCCCCAAATGCTTAAAAATAGTAAAAACAAATCCACAGACAATTTTTTTTTATAATTGTTTTTGGATATTCCTCCTGTAGAGGGACAGGCCCGACTTAAAGCTGGCAGCGGGTGCAGACGGCCACGAAAGAGCAATCCGAGCGGCCGTGCGCAGCAATGGCATGCCCCAGGGACGAGGGGGGCTTCCAGAGCTGAGGCCCCCTGACGAGCAGTCGCGACCCCTTGAAACTAAGTCGAGAGCTGCCACGCGTCGCGGATCCTGGTCCAGTTGTGGCAATGCTGCTCCGGCATCCATTACAGTGGCAGACTGCAGCGTCACCCAAGGCACGCCAAACAAATCTAAGCAAGACCGGGCGGGGAGGAGCTTCGCGGCGAACCTCGCCGCCATGCGAGCAGTGTCGATCTTCCTCGTCAGAAGCGCCGCTTCTTCCGTGGATGGCCCAGGGTGCTGCTCGCGGCCCAGATTGGCCAGCGTGCCAGCATGATCATCCCCAGCCCGCTCGAACAAAACAATTCATCCGCGGGCGGCGCGTCATCGAGCTCCCAGTGAGCCTTGACCTTGACCACTCCTCTGACGTGCCCTGGCGTCTCCGCTTCTCGCCTGGAGCATGACGCCCGGGAAAAACCCTTTGTGCGAGAGGACCAAAGGCACTGGCAAATGCCCATGGCTCACCACCGATTGGCAGGCAGAGTGAATCGCGGAGGGACCACAGAGCAACTTTTCCCTCGCTCCTCCACAAGTGGCACCGACACGCTGATGCCGTCTTTTCTAAGCAAGCATGCGCTGGAGCAAGAAAAGTAAGCTCTAGAATATCCGAATCGCGAACACCCTGAGAAGCCACCACAACGAAGGCGCGAAGATGCCGTATTCGCCGGCCTGGGCCGACTGAGGCCACGGGGTCCACAAAGGCCCCCTGCAACGAAGCCAGGAGCTCCCCCCCCCCTGGGCCCACGAGTGCGGCCTCGAAACCAGCCCTGGAAAGCTCCCGAACTAGGTGGCGATAGCAGGACCCATCGACAAAGAAATGGCCCGAAAGTGCGCGCATTCTATCAACACCGTCCCTTTCGGGAACGACCAACCCCCGAAGAGCATGGCTCCGAAACACAAATCCACCATCGGTCAAAGCCTGCGGAGAAGAGTCACCTGGATGCTGGAGGAGGCCCCTGGTGTAGAGCAGGATATCTTCATGAGACTCCGCCTCCAATCTCCAAAGCGGCTTGGATCATGCCGATGTAT